ATTTCCATGAAAATGACAGGCTGGACCAAAAGGCCTTAGTTTGACACGTTTTGGTAACAGTTCCCAAGATGCATTTGGTGAGCTAAGATCAATGCACATCTTGCAAGTGTGCTTCGTGTTACAGTGTGAGAAAACGGTAAGCACTGCTTTGTGCATGCATCTACAAAAAGACACTTAGCACTGATAGTGTAATAAAAATAGGTCAGTTTAGTAGTTTAGAGTTTGTGATTCTGGGGCTTTGGATAAGCGGTTAAGGAAATGAGTGAATGAGATGAGATCATCACAAAAAAAGGACAAATGAGTAGTTTTGTGTGCACATTCAAAGGGATATTTTTAAATTCAAACAGGTCTTTTGTTTTTCTCATTGTGCTGTGTAGACTTTTAGCTGATTTTAAGACAATACAATATGCACTTATTTAAAATAATATAACTGTAAATGTAGTTTGGGAATACTAAAACAAACACTCTAAAGGATGAGTCTTCTTTTCTCATTGTCCTCGTCCAGTAAAAGAAGAAAAGTCAGTTTTTTTTATTTACTACGTATTTACTAAGAATTTTAGGTATTTTTCACTCGTGAGAAATAAATTTGCACACTGTTAATTTCTGTCTTTTTGAGAGATTTGCTGATGAAGACATCACTGCCATTTTTTTATATATTTATTCATTATTAGTGCAAAAAACCCTAAACAAACAAAAATACACAAGCTGCAGGTTTCTTTCCCTTTATTTCCTCTCTGATTTTAATCATTCTGCAGGCCACACACACACACACACCTCTTCTTCTTACAGCGATCAGGTTCTTGAGACACAGCTGCTAACAGAGCAATGCCCTCACTTCTGTGGACCCACATGCACGCACACATACACACAATACAGCGGTGTTTGCACTGTAATTGCCGCAACACTGTCTTTGTCTGTACCATAATCCCATGGATCTCATTGTTGGCCATACGTGCCTGCTCCTTCATTACTGCCGGTGCTCACCCTCCTCCTCATGCCCTGAACCGCCACCCCCCTAGACCCCTCCAAAAGCTCCAAAAGGCTGTCTTTCTTTCGCCCCACACACAAGAGAAGTGTGCTTTGCCACAAAGGGACTAAGCAGAGGCACAATTAGCCCTGTGACAGTAAGCCCCGCCATGGGCCAGGAAGCATGGCCCACAATGGGCCAAACTTTTATACGACATCTTAATGCAAACACTGGAGTGTGCTGCCCCGTGCCTCTGTGTTTAGAGGCCGGCCACTCTCATCACAGGTCTTTTGTCACTGAGAAACAAGTGGTCATTTATTTCATTTATTAGTTACCCATTAATTGAGGAGGTACGGTGTTTCTATTGAGGCACTGAGGGAGGTGGTGTCATGCAAGGTGGATGAGAAAAAGAAATCATCAGTGGGCTGAGCCTTTAATTGAATCCCATGCCAGTCATTTAGAGATTGCTCCGTCAATGATTATATGGGGATCAATACAGCGAGGGCGACTGCTGCCTAAGATGAGATGAGCACCCGGCCCTCGCTCCATCAAGCAGAGTGAGAAATTAAGCTCGCAACTCTCGATCTTGCTTACAGAAACTCCGACAACAGCCTCACACACACACACATCTGGTGCTGGCCTTGTTTGTGCTGCTGAGCTCTTCCAACAGGTTTCCATCCCTGCTCCGTCTCTGCACTGCAGGCCCCACATTAATGATCGGCAGGCTTAAATAAACCCTCAGTGGTTGTTCTCTATCGATCAGGTGATCTGGCTATCAGATAAACTAACAGATCTATGAAGGACTCGCGCTGTAATTGAGTTGCTGTGGGAGTGTGCCTGTGCTCTGGTTTGCAGGCACATTTGTATACGCCCCAGGTATGCTCCATGTAGGATTATCATCATCATTTAGACATACAGTGTTGCTTTTTTTTTTTTTGCATGTGTTTTTCAAACTCTCAGCCCAAATGGGAGATGTTTTCCCCGTGCTAATTATCAGTTGTAAAGCAGATTGTGATTGTGGTTGTTGGTTTTCATCCCAGAGGGGGATCAGTATTCATCCTGTCCATTGCACTGTGTGATTTGAAAGACCGGGGGGGAGGGGACGTGAGACGTGTGGATTGAGATGTTAAACCAATTAATGCAAAGAACAGAAATAGCAAGCACATAGGTCACTTCACTTCGCTTTGGTCATTTCGTTGCATTTGAAAGATCTTAAAAATCATGGAGACACATGTGCTGGAAGGCTGGATGCAGAGGCCTGGGCTTAAATCTGTCCTCAGGCTATTTACTGTGTGTCTTCTCATGGTTTCTCTGTTCTAATGCAATAAAGACTAAAAAAAAGCTGCCAAAACTTAGAAGGGATGCTAATTAAATTAAACAAGTTTATGTGTCTGGGTATGTGCATCCCACTTGTGCATGTGCGTGCACCTGTGCTTCCCCGTCCACCTCTGAATACCTGTCAGCTTCCTCACCACACACATCAAAACCGCCTCTCAGCTCAGAGACTCGTCTCAAGGCAGAGACATGTTACAGGACAACAACAGTCACAGTTAATGGATGCTCGGTCTGGGAGCTGCCTTCATTATGTGTGTGTTTGTCACAGGAGTTGAAGGGACAGTGTAATGGTCAGGTTTAAAAATAATGGGGCACAGGGGGATAGGAGCACCTGAGTGAAGCCCATTGCTCACATGTTACACTTATAAGCATGATCCTATAAGCACAAATGATATGAATGGATGAACCAACCCTTTAAAGTTTAATTAGAAATTTAAATAACTTAAATATAATAATATCTTATGCACAGTAAACAGTATTTAACCCCTGCAATGTCTCCTTGTACGTTGAAGCTAATGTTCAGCCGTCCAAATTAGCAAAGTCAAGCATGTTTCTTTCAAAGCAAAACAAATGAAGGATATTTGTGCGAAAAAGTTCATAACCTCCCTTTTAAAATAACCAGCAGGAGGCCTGTTCGAATGACCTGACACGCACATCTGTAGCAACAGCGAGAATCCATATATTCAGATGGGCTGTGATTCTAAATCAGTGCATGGAGCCCATTAGAGTTTCTTCCAGCCTTTCTCTTCCCCTGCTCCAGACAGCAGCGACGGCTTTTAAAAATCATCACTCACAGCTGCTGCTGTAAATCTGGCGGGCCTCAGCAATCCGGCAAGAAAACCGAATGAGATCATCCTTTTTCTTTCACGTGGCGCTTCTGTTGCAGCGGTGAAATGTCGAGGAGGAGGAGGACGATGATGATAAGGGTGATTATTGGCGATTTCCTCGGCTGTGTGTATCTTTAGGAAGAGGAGGGGTGTGTTGTCCTTTGTCTTGTTTATGCACACGTGTTTTTACACTTAGGAGGGTCTGCTCAAGGCGGGATGAATTATCTGTCCTCGGGTTACTGTTTGGATCGCTTGGTTGATTGTATTTCAGCTGTTGATTAACTAAGGTCGGATTAATGTGAAAGCTATTTCTGGCAAAACAAACAGTGATGACTGTAACTCTGTCATTGCTCAGCCACTGTCTTTATAAATCGGTGCTTTATAAATGAAGCACTTAAGCTCTCTATCTCTCTTCAAGGCAAGCCCTATAGACCCCTGCTCTGCTTCTCTCCCCATCGCTATGTTCCCTCTTCCTTTAATTACTGTGTTCATGCTTGACGGGCACTGATGACTTGATTAAGCCTGCCGTGCACAGTTCCAGTCTCTACCCTGCTGATGAATGAGTCTAAAGCTTATTAACTTACTCATTCTGATCAATAAGGCGCTGGGCCTGAACACCGCAAGGACAGAAGGGAAACTCTTGTGCCGCTGACCCTCTTCACTGGCAACTGAGATTAAATCAAATCAACACACATGATTAGCATGTGTAACCAATCTGGATGCTCTGGGGAGATAGTACAGAGTACAGGTGGATTTATTTCCTGGACTACTCTTAGTTGAGGAGGCTTCAGAGCTTTCTTCCTCTGAGTTTCTTCAAAAGTACAGAATTATTCATTTCTCTTGATTATAAGTCACTATAAAACCATTTAAATGAGGCATAAACTTAAAGAAGACCTTGACCTGGAGGGAGCCTGAATGCAAGGTTGAAATGAAACCTGCTCTACATCTTTTTAAATCAACACTTTATTTTTTGTCTTGATTCACAACAATGTGGTTAATCCATCTGAAGATCCATAGACTTCATATAAAAGATAGATCTAGTACTTTTACGTCATCCATTGGTTTCTAGGCTGTTTTCAAGCCTTGAGTTCAGTGTTTTCTTTTTTTTTTTTTAAAAGACAAGTGACCTTATTTGCGAGAAAAGGTGGACTCATAAATATGGTACCAATATGTTTTGGACCACCACAAAAAGAAAAAAATTCCATAAAAATTGTCACCTCATGCATTACCATGTCCCTCTGCTTGCTTGTCCTCAGGAGGCCTTACCACAGTAGAAAGCAGAGGAAGGAAGGGTCACATCTAAACCCTTCTCCCCTGAGGAGGCCTTTCAGGTCCAGCAGGACCTTTAGAGATGAGTGGCTCATCAGTGAAGCTAATTTGGCTTCCAATAAGCAGTCACTACTTTTCAGTGGTGAAGGTGACATCTCCAGTTGTTATCCACTGGTCATATCCCTGTCTGCAAAAAAAAAAAAAAAAAAAATCATATTCAGAATTTTTTGGTGCCCGTGAATCGATCTTTTTATGGTAGGAGGTGCCATAATTGATGTTTTGCGGTCGGTGAGAAAAAAAGAAAACACACACACACACATACACAGCGAGAGAGAGAGACAAGAAGGCTGAAAGGTGCTTGATTTATTTTTCATGTCAAGAAAACAGATGCTTCCTGTTGCAGAGAACATGCAGATCATATGATAGCCACCCACTCCACCCTCCCTGCGATACGCCACCAAGTCTGAGAACTACCGCTGGTTTTGTTGGGGTCCTTAATGAACAGGACCTTGTAATGTAAGCTTCTGACTGTTAGCAGGCCTCGCTAAGCTAAACACTGGACTGACCTCTGTCTCCCCTCTGCTGGCTACTGTGTTTGACGCATGTATCAGAGTGTGAGGAGGAAGGTCTTCTGGGAAGAGCCCTTTAAGATGATACGAGCACCATTATTGCCGACTGTGGGTCGGCTCCATTTCAGACACATTGATCTGCTCCTGGAGCTCGCTGGGCGAGAGCTGAGGTGGAGCCTGAGAGACGGACCCAGAGTGGATATAAAATCATGCAATGAGGGCTACTAATGCCACATGCTTATCTTTGCTCAGACCTGTCATCGGTGTATCCCAAAAAATCCAAACAAATTAACTCTCCTCACACTTTCTGGAAAGAACAAAATGTCTGTATAGTTATTTCTTAAATAAAAGAAAATTTGCAGATATATTTAAAAGGTCTTGAAACTTTTAGTTTTTTTATTGGTCCTCTGGAATGGCATTTTAACAGTATTTTATTTTATGGCCCTGGAATGAGCAGAAGTTTTTTTTGTTCTCGATATCCTTCCCTTTTTATGCGGACTGTGGACGTTTTGTTCAAGCTGTTCCCCTTTCTCCTTTATTTCGACTATTTTAGCAATGTGGCACGAGCCCAAAGGTTTTTGCCGCCTTTGAGCAGTAGGCTGCCCCTAAAAATGCCACAAAAACAGGGAAAAAAATCCTTTAACAAAAGTGTTCACGAAATGTTAAGGAGCATTAAAAAAATAAAAAATAAAAACTTTTTCTGAAAAATATTTTTTTAATGGCTCCTGTGAAAAAGGTAACTGTTAGCTTATAAAAAAAATAAACAACGTTTATCTTGCCTTTAACTTGACAACTGAAATTGCGCTTATTTACGCTTACCCAGTGTTTTAAACTCCACTCTCCCAGGCCTTCACTGCCTCCAGCATTCTGCGCACACACATCCGACAGCACTCCGGTGAGAGGCCCTTCAAGTGCAAGCACTGCGGGAAGGCCTTCGCCTCCCACGCCGCCCACGACAGCCACGTCCGTCGGACGCACGCCAGAGACAAGCCGTATCCATGCGAGCTGTGCGGAGTGTCTTTCCAAGAAGAGCAGGAGCTTAAATACCACATGAAAAGCCACAAAAGTAAGCGCTCGATTTAAAATACCCGCATGGGAAGTGTTTTAGGCTAACAGCATGGCATCAGGTGTTTATTTTATGGGTTCAGACGTTTTTATGGGTGCTGTTTAAAGCTTCATTACAGTAAAGCAATTGAAGCAATCGAATATTAAGAGGAATAGAAGTTCAGTACTATTATTATTATTATTATATATTAATAATAATAATATTCCATAATAAATTAAACTAAGACAGTTGAAATATTAATTAGCTTTGCTACAGACTGCTGTCATTGGCAATGCCCTTAAAAAAAACTACTGCAAACTGCCAAACTAAAATGTTGCATACTTTTTTTTTTAAACTACATATTTTCTGGTATTTTTCTTCCCCGCAGAAAGGCAAATCTTGGACAGCACCATTCTCCCGTCTTCTCCGGAGAGAGGATTGCAGGAGGAGTCCCTGTTTCCGCTGAAGGACCATCAGAAGAATAGCGGACAAAACTTTCCTTACAGCGGCTTAACAGTTTTAAATCCAGAATATCGGCCCTGGAACTAGACTCCACTTTCTTCTGTAAACATGACTGATCCTGTGATATATTCTAGATGATTTGAGACAGCACAAACACAGCGAAGAATCTTTACGCAGTGTTTGTGGTGAGACTGTGAAACATGAAGGTAAATTTGTTGTACAGGCCTATTTAAATAGGTAGATAATAACTGGATAATTTGAGCTGCTGGGCAACTGTGTCCGCGTCTGTTTATATATGAACATGTTGTGTATTGTCATGTGGCTTAAAGCTTCTCTACTATTGTTGTGCGGGACAGTTTTGATGCATTGTAATGCCTATTATTGTTATTATTATATTATTATTATTTCCTTGCGTCATCTACCGCTTCAAAAGCAAACCTATTTTATCGCTGTAGATTTGAGTCGATTTGTGTATAAATGTACCCCCTCCTAATTTATAATGTATGATAATGTTTTTTTACTGTAATGTTAAGCTGCCAGAAAGCAACTACAAGAGTCGTCGTTTGTTCACTTTGAGCGTCCACTTTTTCATGGTTAACCTAAAAAACAAAAATCAGCGCATGCAACAAGAGTGTTTTTGCTCTTGTTTATTTCCGAATGTAGAAAATGTATTTCTAAAACGAATAAAATAAATTAACATTGCCCACACTGTGCACTCTGGCTTGTTAATAGTCTTAAAGGGGTTTTTGTTTTTTATGTTTTCATGATGAATAAAACCTTTAAACAGTTGTTATTTACCATTACAACCAAGAAGCAAGAGTTTTATTTTATGTAAATTAACATAACTGCATCTCAACATGCCTAATGCAATCTCCATTCCCAATTCCAGACATGCATCCATCCAGTCAGGCACATGTCACTCCATATGCATTTACAGTCTGCCGAGCTTTTTTTTTTTTTAAGCCACGTGATGAATTGGATGCGTCATGCTCACAGTAAAAATGAACAAACCCCACAGGACCAAATGAATGACAATGAAATGAAGCAGTAAGGGTCATTTCTCCACACACAAAGGCAGTCGCCATGACTGACATCTGCCCTCATGCTGGCACAAACTGTCCCACATGTGTTCCCCTGAGATCGGATAGATAGAGAAAAGTGTGTGTGTGTCTGTGTCTTAGGGTTAATTTAAGGAAAGCCCCAATTGGTAGTGTGGTGGTGGCAACAGCATGAGGTCTGACAGATGACACAGTGTCCAGTCTTTGTCTCTGTGCTCTGTTATGTCACCTTTAACCTCTTGGCTGCCATCCTTCAAACTGTTTGGAGGAGTAATATCAATCACACAGCAAAGGTAGGTTCAAGTAGAACGTAGAAGAGGAAAACTATGAAGCAAGACACTGAAGAAAATGAGCGAAAACACATCACGAAGCACGACATTTTACAAGTGCCAGTAAAACAAATTCAAATTAGACATTCAAAGTTGCCATCAGCTCAGAGCAATTAAAGACTGAAAATTAGACTTCCTCCTGGGTTGTCTGCAGAGATAAGAGCAGTAAAGAGATTAGCAATCACTCCAGCCTCTCTGTTTATTTTCTATAATGGATGGACAGCAGTCGTCAGGGTCAGGGGTCACCTCCTTACTCAGTGTTTAACAGCCTCCCTCTCTCTTCAAATAGCCAAAATATGGATGCTTGAGCAAGTCTAGATCAACCTTCAATGGACTAGCCCCTCCCACGTATACAACCCCTCAAGCCACCATGAATGGGCCCACTGTGAAAAGACAAGATACTCCCCTTTGTGGTCTTCCAGGAGCAAAAGGGGTGGAGGAGAAGGACGGGACAAGAAACAAAGACAAAAAGAAAGACAGAAGGAGAAAAGCGAGAATGAGCTGCCAGAGCTGAAATACTGAGATTGTTAGCATGCTGTGCTAAAAGACTGGTTTTACTAGCGCCTCTGTGATTGGCTGATTTAGAACTCAGCGCTAAAGCGTGGAAGAATTTTTATTTAGGTTGTTTATGTGGATTGATTTCACACTTAACCTCCTGGCAAGCTAACAGGGCCCTCTAAAGGGCAATCCATCGGCTTCATCTCTGTATTAATGTGATATTAATGATTGGAGGAGTGAAGTTTTTATGGCAGTTAATTCCCTCTGAGGTTGAAGCAATAGAGCATAACATTCCACAAAGCAGTTTCAATACTTTGATACTCTGTAACACTCAAATGCGACCCGTAAGAGTGCAACATTCAGTGGTATGATTCAAATATTGAGCTAATCATGCATTTACACTCATGATTAGCTCTTCTCTTCTCTCATACAGAGCTGAGTAGTCAAATGCTCTGATGTATTAGCTTCTATCGATTGCCTAATAGCTGTCAGTGTGTATGTGTGTTTGTGTGTGCTGTAGTCTGATGTTGAGGCTAGCCGTTGCTCCAGACAGGCCTCAGGTCTTCAGCTGAGTGGACTCGTAAAATACAACCACAGCAGCTTTGCGTCCATCTGTGCCTGAGCCTGCGTCAAACCACACAGCAACTCACTGATGAAAAAGATACATGAGAACTTTAAAACATGTTTCTTCTTGTTCTTTACAAATGGTCAAAGTTTAGTTTTGATTGCTACTGCCCCCTTCATCCAGCATTTACCTGATTGTCTTTTGCATTTCGGTCAAAATATGCAATTTATGCACAAAATATACACAAAAGAAAAAGCTGACAAGGGTGACTTCCTGTACCACCTCTTGCCTGAACTCTCTTAGCCAATATACAGTTCAGTTTTATTTCTATAGAGCTAAATCACATGTCACAGGTTCAAGGGGCTTTATATTGTAAGGTAAAGACACTGCAATAATACAGAGAAAACCCCAACATTCTGACGACCCCCTCATGAGCAAGCACTTGGTGAGAGTGGGAAGGAAAAACTCCCTTTTAACAGAAAGAAACGTCTACACCAGTCAGGGAGGGGCAGCCATCTGCCAGATTATTAATCGAGATAAATAATTGAATGTAACCTCTGACGACTAGTATTTCACGAGTGAGATGTGATCCATTGTTCATCATGGTTCTCACTTTAGACAGAGTTCTCCTCTTTGTCACCGTAGCGGCTCTGTGGTGTAGTGTTTTGACCATTTGATTAACTAACAAAAGATCCCTGGTTCAGTCCTGGGAGAAAGCTCAAACCCAGAGGGATTCGTGTCAGGGAGGGTGTCTGGTGTAAAAACTCAGCCAAACCAAGCATGTACAGCTTCCTGCTGTGGAGACCCCTGTGAATAAGGGAGCAGCTGAAAGTAGGTTCTTTATCACCATGTCCAGAGAGTCCGAAGAAGAATCAGAGGAAAGATTCTGGTCCTCTCTCAGTGATTTGTTTATTTCTCAATCATCTGTTGTTTCACTTGTACTTCGAATGACTGTAATGCATCTTTCATTTAATTTAATTTTAATTAATTTTATTAGTTTCATGTTGTTCAATTGCATGTAGGCACTGACTCTGCAGTTGTTTTTGATTTTTGCATGTGTTAATTCAGTCTTTTAAATCTACTTTGTTGCATTTTTAATCCCAGCTTTCTGACATTTAGTTCATCCTTTCAGAGAAGGTATTCTCTGTGTGACCCTTTCTTTCAAAGAAATATTAGACTTAAGTCATTTTAGTTTGAAAGGACCTACTGAGCTATGCCACCCCCTGTTCCCTCAGCTGAGAGATGAAGCTGATCAGCTTGTGTCCTGCCATTCATGCCTCTGGTTGAAGATGTTTTCTTCGGCCAGTGATTTCCACTGGGACAGTGGACAGTAGAGGAGTAGACATACAGAGAGGATCAGCATCCTGCATGCTGCTGGCTGGATGAAAGCAGATCAAACACTGTCTGCAAAGCCCCTCCATATTGCTCCTGAGAGTGTGTATCCTCTAGGTGGGATTGGTGTGTAGGGTGGGCAGATGGCCTTATCCTTCCCTGTGGGGGCTGGTGTGAGGTTCCACTGTGGTCCCATGGGGCAACATATTTGCTGACACACACTCTTACAAACACACACCTCACATAACCCCCAGCAACTCACAAAGCAACCTATGAGAATCTACTGTATACATTATATCTGAGTCTTCTGGTACCTATCTATCAATCCATCTATTTATATCCACCCATCCTGTTTGAACTATTTAACCTCTGATGGATTGCAGGGCTTCTCTTTCGAGTCAATTCATATGCAACTAAGCTGAAAGCAGTGATTCTTCTTGTAGGCTGACATGTGGCATTGTCATTCGGGATGTTAGAAAGTGTTATAGAGTTCTCCTCCCCATGCGTTGCGCTTTACAAAAGTTTTTCTCTGTGTGCTATCTGAGTGTCTTTAGCCGCAAGGCTTTTGTCCGTGCCCAACTGTTATTCCTGCGGGTGATGAAGTTGGTGGTAGGTTAGTGAGGAGAGGACTTAGTGTTACTGTACTGCCCTTGCTCCCTCCCTCTTTCTTTTGCTTCTGTTTCTACAGTACATCATCCCACCTTTTCTTGTGACGCCTCTGATGTGCATGCATTGAAATACTTCTTCAGAACCTTTTTAAGGTTATTTGATCCAATGAGAACTGGTGTAAATACTGTATATGTTTTTTTGTTTTTGTTTGTTTTTTCCGCTGACACACGCTGACCATGTAATTCCTTTGGAAGAGCTGCCTCATGTTGTTAGACCCCCAGTTGTGCATGAGTCTTTTCTGGGGTGAGTATTTTCTTCATTCTGGTGCATACATGCATTAAGGCACTTCAGGCATCCTTAATGTTTTTTTTTTGTGTGTTCCTGAGGGAAGGATTTACAACATATGGACACTGTACTCCTGAAACATGCGCATCCATGCACAGACAAGGTGACCTCTCTGCCTCTAAAGATGTTTGCCGTTAGTCCAGCTAATCCTGACTAAGCTGTCCACTTAGATAAACACTTGGAGGGTGTCGCTCCCGTATGGTACACAAAGAGTAAGTGCCAGAGTTCAGTTCACTTTCTCACTTTTACTGTCACATCTTGGGGAATGGATCCTTCCTTGGGGGAGGAAAGAGAGATAAAGATTTAGAGACAGTCTTACACATAGCTTACTGTACCAGTGTCACTTTTCTACAAATACTGAAGAGCACAGAAGATGTGAACATGGAGGAAGTGGGAGATTTCATTCCTCTTGGGGTGGATTAGCTAATAAGCACCCTTGTCTTTTCCTCATCTTCCTTGTTTCTTTCATCAGTTTTTCCCTGAGAATGCACAGTCACCAGCCATACAGGACAGCCAGTGATTGATTTTCCCACTGACTATCACGAGAGCATAGGAGTGAGCTGTGCAATCTACTATAACCAGTGAGTGTACACTGGACGGCCCCAAAATTAAAACCACTGACAGGTGAATTGAATAAGATTGATCATCTCATTACAGTAATGTGCACTGTAACGTCATCCACACACAGCCCACTATAGTAATGGCACTCAC